GATGTACCGTTCAAAACAGTTGTTGTACTCTTAATTATAGGACCATTCAATATAGGCTATAACTCGTTTTTACTATTTACTGTAATAAGTTTATAGATTTTAATTTTTTACATTATATTATGGTATTTTTAATTTTTAATTTTAATAAATTTATATATTTTACTTTTTATATTATATTATGAGTTTTTTAACTCTTTATTTTAATAAGTTTATAAGTTTCAATACTTATCTTATACTATAACACTTTTAACTTTTCATTTATATGAATTGAAGAAAATAACTCATATTTAAGATCAGTTTATAATGTTTTATTGGTTCTGTTAATTGACTGTTAACTTTATTAGCTGACTATTAACATTTTGTTAACGAAACTAATAAATAAAATTGAATTTAAATTTTATATTTTCTACAACGAAATGTTAACGAATGCTAACAGTCAGTTTTTAATTTTTATTGTGATCTTTTTGATTTTACTAAATTTTTTTATTTTGTTTTTAATTGGTGTTTTTTTTTTTTTATTTTGTATAAGTAATGAGTTAAAAGTGTGAAAGTGATGAACTAAAATTTATAAATTTATTGAGATTAAAAATTAAAAATATCATAATATAAAATAAAAGATTAAAATTTATAAATTTATTAAGATAAAAAATTAAAAAATAAGTTATTATCTTCTATCTCTACATTAAAAAAATAAAAAATGAAAAGAACTCAAGTAGCAAAGGAGAGCTATTTGGTGTAAAAAAATAAGAGAAAGAGAGACCCGTCTGGTCAACAAGGAAAAAAGAAAAAGAAAAAGAAAAAGAAAAAGAAAAAGAAGCTCATATACATAATCCATTCCCAATAATAGCTAAATATTGTTTTGTTTGGTCATTCTCAGAGCCCCTTGTTTTGGGTTAGAAATTTTACACAGTGACCAAAACAAAACAAACACCCGTTAAACTGCAAATCCGCATCCCTCGATACATACAATCTCGGTAACCAAATCTCATCTTTCTCAATTGCACCCTAACCCAAACTCATCTCCCAAACACACCCTCAAAAAAGGTTAAAAATCCATTAGAAGAATCCTATACCATCCCAAATTCCCAACCCACCAAATTCCCATATCTCATTCCTCCTCTCTCTCTCTCTCTCTCTCTCTCTCTATCTCTCTTAAAACACTACTTAGACCAAACCCAGATCACATATATAGATCTTTTAACATATACATACATAACTCAAGTTTTGTTCTTTTTTTCACATCTTCTTTTTCAATTTAGGCCACGGGACATGCACGACTCCCCACACCAGAACTTGCTCGTCAAACACGTCTAGCACTTGACTTCTACCCAATAAAAATCAGGGAAAAAAAAAGAGTACCCCTCACAAATTTCATCCCCACCTTGTATTTTGCCTAACCATAACATGCCAACAACCATGGCAAAAGAGGTGATCTCCTCTTAAAAGGTACATTGCCCCTTGAATATCTCTTCATTCCACTCTCTGTTATTATTTTTTGGCTTGTACCCATGACATGTTTCGACATATATGTCATGTTTTTGCAGTCAATTTTTAATCTCTGCTGACTGTCTATTTGCTTCTGCTGCTGGTGCCGCTGCTACCCTAAAATTACTAGTACCACTCAAAATATACATCTTAAAGTAACCCACCCTCCCTTGATTGTACGTTTTCATTAAGGAATTTTTCAGGGCATTGGTTTACATCTTCCTCTCTAATGCTTTTAGGGATTCTTACTGTATTTTTGATCTGGGGTTTGGACCCACCTGACATGTTATCCATCTTGATTATCTGGGTTTTTGGGTTTTAACACAATGTGAATCCTAGTAGGGTTATTCATAGTTATACCATCTAAGCCGTGTAATTTGTTAATAAAGTTTGGATTTTGTGGCAATTTTGTATTCGGGTTCAGGGTGTTAGGGGTTTTAGCTAATGATCCATGCAAAAGATTAAATTTTCCGGATGAATTGTAGGGTCTTTTTCGTTTTCCCTCGAACATGGTCTGGTCTTGTTGCATATTTCTTGCAGTTCCATTGTACAGTTTATCGAGAGACCTATTGTGTTATACTGTTATGACATGAGAGCAATGTATATGGGAGACATCGAGTGGTTGGTATGTGCCTGGAAATAAGTGGCCCTTTTCAATACGGTTCATGTAGATGCTCTACAATTTTTATTTTGATTGCGTCATAATTATATCACTGATGTGCTGAAGTATGGTTAAACTTTTTTTCTTTAGTTTATTTTATTTTTTAATTTTGGCAAGAAATAGTCAAGGGACCCTTAGCTTAGACGCTTTGTTTTCTGATAAGTTATGCTGCTTTGAAGTTAAGCCAAAAATTTATTCAGAAGCTGTGTTTGACAAATTATTTAATCGCAGGCTTTAAGTCTAAAAGGCATGCAGGAAATTAGTTCAAATCTGAAATGTGAAATTATTTCCTTATCTAGTAGGATCTTTATGATGAGTCAGTGTCAAATGAATCTTTTTGTTAATTGCAATCGTAATAACTACAGTTTTCATGTTTAGTGTTTTCTATATGGTGTTTCACTGTGTAATATGCGGAGCAACATGTGCAGTTCACTTTTAGGTCTTAGTATTTGTATAAAATGCATGAAAAATGATGTGATTCATACAAATTGATGATTGTTAAACCACATGTTTGTCAAATACTATTTTAATGTTATTTATCCACTGATTTATTTTGTTTCAATCTTCATATATATATATCCTTGATAGCATTTCTTTTTCATCAACTGACTCCCATTCATGAGCAGGAAGCTGATGTGTGGAATGATCAATGATTACACGAACATCATACGGCAGTAGAAAATTTTATTTGAATCATGGAAGTGCTTCCTTGTTCTGATGTTCAGTATGTTGGTGATTCTGATTGTGCTCAACAGAGTTCGGGAACAGATTTTATTTATGACACAGAATCTAACAGCTTGGAACATGGAAAAGAAGTTCAAGTACAAGTTGGCAGAATAAATGAGTTGTCAAAGGAGGAAGGGAATCCGGTAGAAAGACAGGATGAAGGTTTAGGGACACGGGATGACTTACCAATTTCGGAATCACACCATGGTGGATCTTCATTTTATGAGCATCAAGTGGAGAGCCAATTGTTATCTTCTGGTTCACATGATTTTGAAGATGATCTAAATGCACAGAACTGCTGCTCAGGACCATCCCTAGTCTCTGAAAACTCTCACTCAATTGTAGATGCTATTGAAAGTGAGTCACTAAGCAACATTAAGGAGGGAGAGTCAACTTCGTCAGAGCCCAAGTGGCTAGAAAATGATGAATCAGTGGCATTGTGGGTCAAGGTAGCATTTCAAGTTTTATCTTTTATTTACTTTTGGTCTGTATTCTGCAAACTTGTAGCACCGGTTTTAGGGCCTGGTCTTAATACATGCCTTCTCTCGGTTTTCAATCTGTTGATGTACATGTGTGCTTCATGCATTGTCCCTTTAACTTCCTTTCATCTTGCCATTTGAATATCTACTCTGTGAACTTCCTGATTTAATAGATCTCTTCAAGAAGTTTGTTCATGATGGACATTCTTTGTTGGTTCTTTTCTTTCTAGATAATATGAATATATGCTGAATTTATTTTTGCATTGGTACGCTTGTCTTTTTTTCCAAGTATAGTGGAGAGGAAAATGGCAAGCAGGAATCAGATGTGCGAGGGTTGACTGGCCATTGTCAACTTTAAGAGCAAAACCAACCCACGGTAGAAAGCAGTATTTTGTGATTTTTTTTCCCCACACCAGGAATTATTCTTGGGCAGACATGCTGCTTGTCCGATCCATTAATGAGTTCCCAGAGCCTATTGCATATCGGAATCACAAAGCTGGACTAAAAATGGTTAAAGATTTGGCAGTTGCAAGACGGTACATAATGCAAAAGCTAGCAGTAGGCATGCTCAATATTGTTGATCAGTTTCATTCTGAGGTATGGATTAGATTCCTCTTTCATTCATGCATATATATATGATGAAGTTTTTTACCTTTTTCTCTATGCTATATATTTCATCTTTATTCTTGCTTGAGATCTATTCCAAATGATGTAGGCCTTGGTAGAGGCTGCTCGTGATGTGAATGTCTGGAAAGAATTTGCTATGGAGTCTTCACGATGCAATGGTTATCCAGATCTTGGCAGGATGCTTTTGAAGCTTCAAAGTGTAATCCCTCACTAAATTGATATAAGTCAAAAAGTACCTTCTTTAGATGACAATTGTGAATCCACCAAATAAAAGCACATAATCCAGATTAATTGATCTGCATTAAACCACATTAAATTATTGTAACTGAAGATGAGATGCAGGAACGTTAATTGGCATTCATAAAGGAGATTTTATGCCATACATTTCTGCCCTGAATCTAAAAGTGCTTTAAACTAAATACATTAACCTACAAATTTTATTATTAATAACTTACTGAATTTCATGGTAATTTGTGTTCTTTCAAGACTGTTAGTTATATTTATGGTTTTACGGGTAAATTGATCCCACTGGAGCTGTATGTTGAAGGAAGTTCACAAATTTTTAGTCGTTTGATTTCAATACTTTCACTATTGCAGCTTTCTCCTAGATTGCCGCATATTTTCCCCCAGGACTGATTAATTGACTGGTTTGTCTAATAAGAATGAAGTAATGACATTTCTTTTCTATGCAGATGATATTGCAGTCCTATATAAACTCTGATTGGCTAAAAAATTCTTTTCATTCTTGGGTACAACGATGTCAGAAAGCACAGAGTGCTGAATCTATTGAATTGCTAAAGGAGGTAAGCTAACTCTTATGCGGGAAATCCTGTTTACCAGATTCGTCTTCTGTCCTTGTCCTGAGGGTTATGAAGCATGGGTGTTACTTAATAGAAAAAATCCTGGTTGTACATAAATTTAAATAAGGCATAGCATTCCATCCTTTTATATGTACATACAAACTTGTGATATGTATGTAGCCATTCATATACAAGCATGTTGAAAAGCAAACATAACATTGGCCTTTAAATGTGTGATAATGCAATTTATGTTTCTACAATTTCTCGATTTTCCATGATTGCCTGTTATGTGCTTGACAGAAAAATCATAGACTGAAAAGTTGTATATAGACAATATCTATGTGCAAGTTTCTTGACGAAAATGCATAAAATTATAATTGAAAAGTTATTTGGGTAGGTTAAACAAAATTCTCTTATAATTTTTTTTTAATGTGTCTGATAAATTAATATGGATGGTGAAGCTTGTTTTGTCCTCAAGTATCCAGTGCATCAATTATTTGATCGAGGAAGTACCATAAATGTTAGATTTAAACTCTCCCCAATGTCTTCTTGGGATTATATGTGCATCAAGTTCTTGAAATATTATAGCTATGCCATGGGGTCATCATGCAACTTTCTTCTGCCACTGGGAGTGACATTCATTTCCAGCCTACCATGAAGTAGAACAGAAACAGCAAGTTAATTTATATTATAAAAGCTGATTTCTTTTTCCCCACCTCTTCTCTTTGATCAGGAGTTGTTTGATTCTGTTCTGTGGAACGAGGTCAAGTCTCTTTGGGATGCACCTGTTCAGCCCACATTAGGTTCTGAGTGGAAAACCTGGAAGCATGAAGTGATGAAATGGTTCTCAACATCACATCCAATATCTACTGCAGGAGATATGGGGCAAAAAGGTGGTGATGGTTCCTTGAATCTTCAAGTTAGCCGGAAAAGGCCCAAGCTTGAAGTCCGTCGGGCAGAGATGCATGCTTCCCAGATGCAAACCAATGGTTCAGATCAAACAATGACTGTTGAGATTGACTCTGATTTTTTTAGTAGTCGAGATACTGTCAATGCCAATTTGTCAATGGCTGAACTTATTAAGGTGGAAGATTTTGGGAAGGATCCCTCGAAGACAGATGCTTCAAATAATTTAACTGGGATGGGCAGAAGGGATGGAATTCTGCTTGAAGTGGGGAATTCTGGCCTCATCAAAACCAACAATGTTGAAGACACCAAAGTGAGTGAAGAAGGTAAAAACTCCGTGGGTCTACCGATCCACACAGCAGGTGTGGAATTGACACCTGTTAATGAAGGAGTTTCTAAGAAATCCGTAGATCTGGGGAATAAGAACAGGCAATGCGTTGCATTTATAGAGTCTAAGGGAAGGCAGTGTGTGAGGTGGGCAAATGATGGTGATATTTACTGTTGTGTGCACTTAGCCTCTCGTTTTATAGGTAGCTCTGTAAAAGCAGAAGGGACGCCTTCTGGTGATACACCAATGTGTGAAGGTACCACTGTTCTTGGTACCAAATGCAAGCATCGGTCCCTATATGGCTCTTCATTCTGCAAGAAGCACAGACCCAAAAATGATGGTAAAAATACCTCTAACTCTCCAGAGCATTTGCCTAAGAGGAAGCATGAGGATGTTATTCCCAGTTCAGAAACCCCATATTGCAGAGACATTGTTTTGCTAAGAGATGGTGAAAGCCCCTTAGAAGTGGAACCAGTATCAGTACTGGAATCTGATGCCGTCCATGGAAGAAACAGTCTAATTGAGAAGCCTGAGCATTCCAGTAAAGATTGTAATAGCACAGGGATACTCCATTGCATAGGTGTGTATCCACAAAGTGATTTCCATTCATGTCAAGAAAATCCAAAGCGGTATTCATTGTACTGTGATAAACACCTTCCAAGCTGGCTTAAGCGTGCAAGGAATGGTAAGAGTAGGATAGTATCAAAAGAAGTGTTTATAGATCTTTTGAAGGACTGCTGTTCTCTTGAGCAAAAATTGCATTTACACCAAGCATGTGAGCTTTTCTACAAGCTCTTTAAAAGCATTTTATCCTTGAGAAACCCAGTTCCTATGGAAGTCCAACTTGAGTGGGCCCTTTCTGAAGCTTCAAAAGATTTTGATGTTGGGGAAATTTTAATGAAATTGGTAAGCAGTGAAAAGGAGAGACTCGAACGATTATGGGGTTTCAGTTCCAGAGAAGGTCCACCAATGTCCCCTGTTGTGGAAGAATCAGTTCCATTGCCGTTGACCATCAATGATAACTGTGACATTGACATGACCATTAGGTGCAAAATCTGTTCTGTGGAATTTCTTGATGACCAAGAGCTTGGCAGCCACTGGCTGGAGAACCATAGAAAAGAAGCACAATGGTTTTTTAGAGGTTATGCTTGTGCTATCTGCTTGGATTCTTTTACTAACAAGAAAGTTTTGGAATCCCATGTGCAGGAGAGACACCATGGGCCATTTGTTGAGCATTGCTTACTTCTCCAATGCATTCCCTGTGGCAGCCATTTTGGCAATGCTGAGCAGTTATGGTCACATGTACTGTCAAGTCATTCTGCAGATTTTAGATTATCAAAGGTTATGGCTGCCCAGCAGCCTAACATGTCCAAACATGAGGAGCCTCTGCCAAAAATAGAGCCAGTAAATAAAGCTTCTGTGGAGAATAACTCTGAAAATTCAAGTGGTCTTCGAAAATTGATTTGCAGGTTTTGTGGGTTGAAATTTGATTTGCTACCTGATCTTGGCCGCCACCATCAGGCTGCTCATATGGGACCTAGTTTAATGGGCTCTCGCCCTGTGAAGAAAGGTGTTCGTTATTATGCTTATAAACTAAAATCTGGGAGACTTAGCCGGCCTCAATTTAAGAAAGGTCTGGGGGCAGTTTCATATAGGATTAGAAACAGAGCAACTGCCACAATGAAGAAACGCCTCCAGGCATCAAAATCACTTAGTACTGCAGTCATTGGTATCCAACCACATATAGCTAAGACAGTAAATCTTGGTGGATTGGTAGGATCGCAATGTTCAGAGGTTGCAAAAATTTTACTATCAAAGATTCAGAGAGCAAAACCCCGTCCCAATAATGTTGATATTTTATCCATTGCTCGCACTTCTTGTTGCAAAGTGAGCCTCAAAGCTACACTGGAGAAGAAGTATGGAGTGTTGCCAGAAAATGTATACCTCAAGGCAGCCAAGCTTTGTAGTGAACATGACATTCAAGTGGAGTGGCATGGAGAAGAATTTGTATGTGCTAATGGATGTAAGCTTATCAAGGATCCAGATTTGATGTCTCCGCTGATACCTCTTGCAAATGGTTTTTCAAGGCTCCAGTCAGCAGATTCCTTGGATCATGTAGGTGAGGAGTGGGAATTGGATGAGAGCCACTGTGTCATTGATTCTCAACATTTGAGACAATCACCCAGCCATAAGGCCATTGTGTTGTGTGATGATATAAGCTTTGGGAAGGAAGCCGTTCCAGTTGCCTGTGTAGTTGATGAGGGTCTTTTAGATTCTCTCTGCATCTCTGGCAATAGTTCTGGTGGCCAAAATGCTCTATCTGCCTTGCCTTGGAAGAGCTTTACTTATGTTACGAAACCATTGATTGATCAATCTCTGGATCTTGATAATGAGGTATCTTTTTTGTATCAGTTATTTGTCTTGTGGTCCGGTTCTACTTTTGAGGGACGTTATATTTTTCCCTCCGATTATATGTATTTGAATTGCAAGGTGATACTCATGTTTTCTGTTTGACAAATGGCTGGCTCGTTTGTGCTCTCAACGAAGACAGAGGGAGATGTACTTTATCATGCATCCTTCTACTTAACCGATTGCTACTATGCTTAGAGATAGCCTTTGGATCTTTTTATCACAATAAAAAGAGCATATAAACATAAATAAATCCTTATCTTGTTCTTTTCCTTTTAATGGGACATGTTTATCATCTCCTTTTCCAGAGCTTGCAACTGGGGTGTGGCTGCTCACATTCAACATGCAGTTCTGAAACATGTGATCACGTATATCTCTTTGATAATGATTATGAAGATGCAAGAGACATATATGGGAAACGAATGAGTCGAAGATTTCCATATGATGACAAAGGGCGGATTATCTTGGAGGTAATATGATTCTTGAGCTGTTAATCATTACTATTTCCACTCTAAGAATGGTGCACTTGACTGGCAGACAGGGTTGTTGGCATACTTGTGAAGGTTGGCATTCAATATGTCTTTTAAAACTGTGCAGGAGGGCTACCTTGTTTATGAATGCAATCACATGTGCGGCTGCAATAGAACATGTCCAAATAGGGTTTTGCAGAATGGAGTGCAGGTGAAGTTAGAAGTCTTTAAAACTGAGAATAAGGTAAAGTTCTCATTTTTTTATTGTTTGTGTTTGTGAGTATCATTTTTTAACTTTTCCATATGTTGATGTTCAGGGTTGGGGAGTAAGGGCAGGTGAGCCAATCTTGTGTGGCACATTTGTATGCGAGTACATTGGTGAGATTTTAGATTATCAGGAGGCAAACAAGAGATTTAGCAGGTTTTGCATTTTGATTTTTGTTGTTTCATTTTCACCATGTTTCTGTCTTTGTGCTTTATTTTAAATAAATCATATTGGACTTTTTCAGGTATGGTAGAGAAGATTGCAGCTATATGTATAACATTGACTCTCATAACAATGATATAAGTAGATTGATTGAAAGCCAGAGTCGATTTGTAATTGATGCCACCAAGTATGGAAATGTTTCTCGTTTCATCAATCATAGGTGAGGAACAAGTTTTTCAGTATCATGTCATGTATTGCTGTGGTTTCAGGTATTTCTAAGATATAGCAAGGCAACCATGTGGTCTGATCAAGTCATATAATACCAATTTTATTCCAGCACCTTATTTCTTAAAATTGTGTGCAAGAGTTATAGAGCTGATGCTCTTAGGCATAGCACAAAGTTGATGTCTTCATCTTGACTAGATATTTTTATCAATTTTCAGAAAAAGGAATCAGATTGTGTCTCCACATCTGTAGGACTAAAGTTTCTTCTTGTGGTAACCAATATGGAAATGTAAAATGGAAGCAGCAAACCAAAGAAAATGAGTCAAATCTGGTGCAATATGTGTTCTAGCACATTCTTACCAAAAGAATTTTCAATAAACTGATATTAATTAATGTTGCCTGTCTTGCAACTTTAACTAAAACATAGAACTGATTTGAGGGAAAATTTTCAAAATCAATCCCATATAAGTGGTGATTTTTTAATTTGTAAGAGACCTTTAGCATTTGCGGCCCTATGTGAAGAATAAGTACAGCTTAGTGGGTCAGTTTAACTTTGCGTGCTTGCTTCTTTTGTGCCCATATCTTTCTTCAACATATGTTGACTTTTGTCTGATATATTCTTCATTCTTTGTTAACTTTTCTTTCTTTTATCCCTATTGGTAGCTGCTCACCAAATCTTGTGAATCATCAAGTTCTCGTGGAGAGCATGGATTGTCATCGTGCTCATATTGGTCTCTATACAAGTCAAGATGTAAGTTTCTACTCTGTCTTATAGAGTGCATATATGCCATATAATGCACTACTTGGATGTTAACTGGTTCAAATCTATTTTCTTCAAGCTCTTAGTATATCATATTATGAATAATTGAGTTTAATGTGATGGGCAGAGGAAGGCATTATATAATTTATTGCTAGAAGATTGGCAGATATATGCATTTGCAGCTTTTGACTCATTTAATACATTTTTGGTGCATTATTAGGCTTAGTCTCTTCCTACCATATTGATTTTCACTATATTGGAACATGAGAGCATGTTGCAATTTGTGGAAAACTTCCATTACTCTAGCATCATACACGTACTAAGTCTAGTTGTTTTATCATTTGACCATCCTATGAGCAGATAAGCACAGGCGAAGAACTGACTTTTGATTATCGGCATGAGTTGCTATCTGAAGAAGGATATGCACGCCAGTGTGGAGCTTCCAAGTGCCAGGGCCGCATTCACTAAATACTTAAATCAGCCCTATTGTAATCTCTTCAGCATACTAAAGCTCAGGTTCTATTAAATAAATGAATTTGCCTGACTCATCATGCTTCCATTCGATCAGAAAGAAGGCTTGAGGTGATTTTCAGACTTACTGGGCTGCTGCTCCTTCACCAATGCATATCAGTAAACTGGCAAAATCCCTTCCTATGGTGATATGGTTTTACAAACTTCAGACAATCTTCACAATCTAGGGTATGGTTCAATGTCAAGCAGATTGTGCCCTCAGCATTTCATTCATTTACATGGCTATCAAATAAATGGATGAAAATTTACTGAGTAGGGTTGAGCTCCTTTTATTTATTTTCTCCTCTAGTTTTATGCTCTGAAGGTGGTTTCTAGGCATGGGTAGATTTGTTATTTCTTACATTGTTCAGAGTTCGTAGATAAATGAGCTTAGCTGGAAAACAAAGAACAAGATGGTAGTCCTTTGTGTCGCATAAATTGTAGTGTTCAAATTTTCATTTTATGATGATGCTATCTAGTTTTTCCTCTTCACTGTATAGAAGTTTTTGAGTAATCCTGAAGATTATCTTGCTTCATTTCCAGCCTCTATTATACTTCTACTCGCCATTGGTATAGTAAATGCAGAAGGTATTCTTATATCAAAAAACTGTTTTATAGGATGAATTCTACTTTAAAAATGCACTTAACTTTATAAATTTACTTAAATAATTTCAATAAAATTACTTTTTATATTATTTCATTAAGTTATTTAAGTAAATTTATAGGATGGACTGCATTTAATGTACAGTCCATCCTTAAAATCTTGAGTCTATTCTTATATTTATGTGGAACGTTGGAAACTTGCTGAAAATGACTACCATGTCGCATCTAAGGTATCATAAGTTCAATTGGTCTGCCATACATATTTGTGGGTTTTGCCGTTCCTTCTGCTTCAAAGCTTCAAATAAGATGAATCTGTATATTTCAAGCACGCAATTCCAATCAGTGAACTCCTTATATGGGGGTATGGTTTTCTCAAGGAATTAATATCCATATCTGATATCATTAATTTAATTTCAGTCCAATATTCAATATGATATTCTTGATAAACACTCAAGGGAAGAACATAAGCTGAGGCATTTGGATTTTAACATTTCATTTTGAAGAATGCTGTTAATTCTAGAAGGATATTATGGAGTGGAGAAGCATGGCAGGGATCATGGTCACATGGGGTGTTCCCATAATTTGGTGACAGAAATCAAATACAAATTGATGTTTTTCAAGGTTACTATGCTCAAATTATAAGAAAAATCCCAAGGAAAAGACTGGAGTCCACTTGGAATAGTGAAGATATCTACCATCTTCCAATTTTTTTGGTTTTTTTAATTAATGATGAGACTTACATTAGCACAAGGCAATGCACTCCAGCCAGATAGCTCAACCACTTCAAATGGATAAGGAAATATCATCTAAATGCGTAAGATTGATAATCATCAATATTGTAAATCATTGATAGAATCTTCTTTTACAGTTTTCAAAGATATCAGTTCAACTTATAGGGACAAAAGGAACTGAGATAATCATATTCTTCAAGCATTTCTCCATTAGCAGAGCTGACATGGCAAGGACTCCTTAAGGGCAAGATGTTTGGAAGACACTGTACCTACTTCAGATTGATGAATGTGTTTGGTTCAATTATTGCATATCATGAA